GGGGGGGGGGGGATAAGACACTGTGTTTCCTGCATGCAGTTTGGCATAAAATGATTCTGATTTATGTAGGTAACGGGTTTTATTTATTCATGAAAATCTGCTGCGGGAAATACAGAGAGAGAGCGCGGAACACGCTGCATGAGACACGTCCTGAATCCAGGAGAACATTCCCTACATAGAATGTAATTACTGAGGGGCCCCTTCACCCCACAGCATCATCATCATCATCCTCAGCAGAATGGGGTGCGCTGGATGAGAAGTGAAAAGGGAATGTGGTAAAGGGAATGTGGTGAAGGGAATGTGGTGAAGGGGATGTGAAGGGAATGTGGTGAAGGGGATGTGAAGGGAATGTGGTAAAGGGGATGTGAAGGGAATGTGGTGATGGGAATGTGGTAAAGCGAATGTGGTAAAGGGAATGTGAAGGGAATGTAAAGGGAATATGAAGGGAATGTGGTAAAGGGAATGTGGTAAAGGGAATGTGGTGAAGGGAATGTGGTGAAGGGGATGTGAAGGGAATGTGGTGAAGGGGATGTGAAGGGAATGTGGTGATGGGAATGTGGTAAAGGGAATGTGAAGGGAATGTAAAGGGAATATGAAGGGAATGTAAAGGGAATATGAAGGGAATGTAAAGGGAATGTGGTAAAGGGAATGTGGTGAAGGGAATGTGGTGAAGGGGATGTGAAGGGAATGTGGAGAAGGGGATGTGAAGGGAATGTGGTGAAGGGGATGTGAAGGGAATGTGGTGATGGGAATGTGGTAAAGCGAATGTGAAGGGAATGTAAAGGCAATATGAAGGGAATGTAAAGGGAATATGAAGGGAATGTGGTAAAGGGAATGTGATGAAGGGAATGTGGTGAAGGGAATGTGGTAAAGGGAATGTGGTAAAGGGAATGTGGTGAAGGGAATGTGGTAAAGGGAATGTGGTAAAGGGAATGTGATGAAGGGAATGTGATGAAGGGAATGTGGTAAGGGGAATGTGGTAAAGGGAATGTGATGAAGGGAATGTGGTAAAGGGAATGTGGTAAAGGGAATGTGAAGGGAATATGAAGGGAATGTGAAGGGAATGTAAAGGGAATATGAAGGGAATGTAAAGGGAATGTGGTGAAGGGGATGTAAAGGGAATGTGAAGGGAATGTGGTAAAGGGAATGTGAAGGGAATATAAAGGGAATGTGGTAAAGGGAATGTGAAGGGAATATAAAGGGAATGTGGTAAAGGGAATGTGAAGGGAATATAAAGGGAATGTGATGAAGGGAATGCGGTGAAGGGAATGTGAAGGGAATATGAAGGGAATGTGGTGAAGGGAATGTGGTGAAGGCAATGTGAAGGGAATGTTGCTTTATTGTGCACAGAATGCATTATAACCACACAGCTGAAAATAAAAGGGGTCAGATTAGTTACTGCGGGGCCCGCTGAGCACAGGGGCCCAGGGACAGGTGTGATGTCAGCTGAAACGGCCTTACTTACTATAATTAGCGCTATTATTGCTAGGATGTAGTACATGGAGTCACGGAATAAAGACCACCACGTCAAGTGGACAACCTGAGAAAGCAGAAAGAGTGGCGGAAGAGGGAGGGAGGGGAAGTGATGGAGAGTGTGGGGGTAGAGGGGTAAAGAGTGTGGGGGGGTGTGGAGAGAGACATGGGATGAAGATAGATTGGGAGGGGATAGGGAGAGACATGGAGGGGTGAGGAGAGGAGAGCAAAAATATTGGGAGAGGGAAAAAAGGGAGAGAATGGGGAAAAGAGGGGAGAAAGAGGGGGCAGATTGGAGGTTGGG